TTTTTTTTTTGTTGTTGGAAGTGTCTACGTCAAGCACTGACATTAGAGAACTTACACAGCTTGTATTCGTTCTCTAACGTTAGAGAACGAAGACACTACCTTTTTTTTGCTTACTCCTCCAATGACACTTAGATAATTAGATAATTTAGATCGCAGCCTATAACTATTTTGATCAGTCAGTAAATGGGTCCAGATATTATTATTATTCCAGCGTGTCTTCTTCAGTGTGTGAGACAGTGAGTGTACGTAGTAACCGTTACGACAAAGACACTCGTAATTGGAAAGGATTGGTGTACTCTGGTGACCTAACTTCTTGAATACTGGGTTTTTCTGCTGTTATTGATATAGTACACTGTTTGCATACTACTTTATCGCAAACTTAAAACTTTTTTTCAATGGATACCCTCTTTAAAATGGTTTAAGTCCAATTACTTCATAACTGACAAGATAACATGTGCATTATTATGTGTGTGCGCGCGCGCGCGCGCGCGTGTGTGTGTGTGTGTGTGTGTGTATGTGTATGTGCGCGCGCGAGCGCGAGCGCGCGCGTGTGTATATGTGTATGTGTATGTATTATATTTGTATGTATTTGTGTGTGCGTGTGCGAGTGCGTGTGTTGAAGGTATGAAGACGAATTCTTGATGAAGTGAGTTATTTTTATGCATGATGAATGGATTTTCAATAGGTAGTCCGAAAGCAAAAAAAAAAAGAAAGAAAAATGAAACTTTTGAAATGACGAAAAGTAAGACATTTGACATGTGTTTTTCTGAATTTTCAATTACCAATACATCATTCGTATATCTCTCTCTTTTTTTTTTTGGGTATGCCACTTTCTAATAACACATCTAATCTTCGGTCCTCATATGATCAAACTGTATTGCAATAACCATAAAACTCGTGCTAAAACTATTTTTTTAAAACAACTAATCTCCTACTCGTTCTGTGTCCAGGTTCGGCAAACTGCTGCTCCGGCTGCCGTCTCTCCGCACCGTGAGCGCACAGGTGATCGAGCAGCTCTTCTTCGTGCGCCTGGTGGGCAAGACGCCCATAGAGACACTCATCAGAGACATGCTCCTCAGCGGCGGCTCCTTCAGCTGGCCCTACATGGCCATACAATGACGCGGGGGCCTTCAGGGGGCCAACCCGGGCCTCCCTAGAAGAGTCTACTAGGGCACAGGACATATTATGCAGGATTCTGGAGGACGAGAAAGTTCTGTGAAAGAAAAGGTTCACTCTTTGTGCACTGGTTCTTCGTCTTTTTATCTTCAAAATGTCGTTGGACCCCGAAGGATGATTCCTGAGTTCAGCCAATGTCGATTTTTTTACGCTTGCCGACTCAAAGACACCTGAATTGAAGCTTGTGTTGATGGATTGTTAGGTTCTGTTGTTCGGGATAAAGACTGGCTGTAAAGATTCGTTCAGGCACAAATTGGCTAATATTGTGTATGACGAACTGCATTGAAATCAAAGGAATCCAGAAGTTGTGCGTCTGTTTTCCTAGTGAATGCTGAAACAACCACGTCACTACGCTCCTGCAGAGCAGACGTCATCCAAGTAAAACCGAGTTAACAACACTTGTCCGAAACAGAAATGAAAAATGACGACTTAAGAGTCATGCCTCATAGAAATACTTCATGGGGATGTCATACAGTGTCGGAAAAATGTCAAAGAGGTCTGAAGAGGCCTACTTTTCGAATATTTTGAACGCTTATAATCTAAGTCTGACCCAGATAGCCCTCCATACGTTATGCTAAGAAAATTTTCCTTTTTGAAAGGGCTGTGGTTTTTCTCTTATTCATTGGGACTGAGTGCAAAGACGAGGCACAGTGACTTATGAAAAAGAGTATGTGTGCCTAGAACATGCCCGCAAAGTACAATTCTGCACTTATGTAACGTTCAAAGGAAAGAGTCAACCCTGATTGACTTTGGTTCCCTGTGACTGTTGACTGTGTTTGTGTTTGATATGGTACAACGTGGTTTGCGTGAGTCAGTGTTGATGCAGCGGCTTACACTCTTATAGTGAATACATTTCTTCCTGATTGATTGTAGAGAACATTGATTAACGACTGCACTTTTTTCTGGAGAAAAATGGACTCTTTCCGATAAGTGTGTGTGTGTGTGTGTGTGTGTGTGTGTGTGTTTGTGTGTGTGTGTGTGTGTGTTTGTGTGTGTGTGTGTTTGTGTGTGTGTGTGTGATTAGATTTTAAGTCTGGATTTTATCGACTGCCATGTTTTAGTCTACTGACGCTCAAATAAACTGTGACATGGCGCAAGTTCCGTGTACTTTGTGACGTCATGTTTCAAGAGATGGCGTCCAACATCTAGAGACAGCACAAGGAGACAGCACCCCTGTCCGTTCGTCCATGCGGACCCGCAAGACACCATTACTATTGAAGTCGGCACTCGTACAAATATGATGGGTTTTGTCTCAGTTGAAGGTCTTACAAAATCCTGCAGCTCACAAATGAACGCATTATAGCCATTTTTGTATGCATAGTTTGCTTCGATCACGTTACCAACGCAATGCACAAATAGAATCTAGTATGTTAGTTAGATTTAAGTATACCTCTTCTGCTCGGTCCGTCACGTGGTTACTGCCTGGGATGAAAATCTAGGGATTTCTTTTTCGTTTAGTCCTCTAAAATGTTATATATTTAAGCTATGATTTGAATATTGTAACGGTCTGAAATTTCCCCTCAATTTACATAGATTTTAGTCAATACTAACAAACATTTTAAAGCGCACCAAAAGAAAAATATACCAAGAGAGCTTTTTGAACAATCAACGGCAACGTTGTTGTTTGTTTTGTTTTGTTTGGGGGGTTTTTTTGGCACGTGGGCGGGGGGTTGTTGGTCTGCATTGGGGTTCTAGTTATTAACGATGAAATGATTTTCTTAAAAACAGAACAAAACAAACATAACTCATCTGAACAAAATACAATTTTAAAACCTTTTGAAAGGGAGGACATTGAAAGAAACACATCTACTTAAAATACTAGTTCGAGTAAATACTTTTATTGTAACACTCGTGGAGTTTATACTATGATTTATATTTTAGCAAGTTAGTTGTTAGAACTGTTGGTCTCTTTGTTAACATGACGAAGAAAAAGAAAGCCTTCTATTTTATTTCTTCAGAGATATTTTGTTCACATTAGTTGCTATAAGTCCCAGGATAGATGTCGTTGTCTCAAGTTTGCGTTGCTACCCGTAACTGAGGTCATAACGACTGTTTAGTGCCATTGGCCGTAACATTGTGTTTTAAATTTAAAACCCATTGTTAATTGTTATTTTCGTGATCTTAAGTTTAGTTAAGAAAGAATAATTCATATTAATTATTACTTGTACAATTTTGACGCAACCCTGAATTTTCTGGTGTTGATGTAATATAAAGAAATGAGCATAGTTTTAAAACCGGTTATTTATTATCTTTTATACACACGTATTTTTAATTCATGGATGTGTAATGGTGTGTCAATAATATTAAAACCTTGATGACTGTTCCTTTTTGTTTGTGAAACTTAATGTAAGGCATTGTCGTCGAGGCACATTTTGTTCGCCTGTACATACCCATTCCAGTCATGCTATTTATGTCACAGTATTCCCATTTTACTGTTATCGTTGATGTCTTATTCTCACTGTTACATTTTTTCTTTTCTTCTTATTTTTTATATTGATATTTATTATTTTAT